AATCTGATCTCATCTCACAATCATCACAACTTGCTCCATATATGGCCTCCTTTGTAAATCAACAGCGGGTTTTAAATGCCAAAAAATGATTATCGCACAAACTTCCAGAACTGATTCAATTAAATTGTAGGATCCTCATACGTCGAAACCGATGGGAGTCTTATATATATATATATATATATATATAACGGCATTTTTATATATATAACACTCCACAATTTACTGTCCATTGTCGCTCATAATAATTGGTCTGACGATTGCATCTAGCTCTTAATAAGTAGCCTGACGATTGCATCTAGCACGAAACAGACTGCCGCTTCTAAGTGTTGACGTCTACTTTCACTTTTATATATATATATATATATATATATATATAATATTGGGCATTGTATGAAAATATATGCTTCATTTTTAATTCTTAAATCTTAAACTTAGTGGCTTTACTATCTTGCTTGTAGTTAAATCAATTTAACAAAATTTTATAACTGAATCCATAAGCTGTCAGATCCTCATACGTCGAAACCTACGGTATATAGTATTATATATATATATATATATATATATATATATATATATATATATATATATATATATATATATATGAAGAAAAAATATACTGAAAAAACAAACAAAAATCCTAATATGCGATTATGCTGTTTTAATGTTTAATGTCAACGTCGGCGTTTCGATCTAATAGACCATCTTCAGGACATATTCATAAAACATAATTAACATAGACCATAGACAATTCAACATGAAAAAGACGATGGACATAAAAGCAATACCAATCCAAACAGATAACTGAAATCTTTTATAAGATCAGCGTTACGTTTAAATATGATCACGTCGTCGTCACGTGGGCGACGTTTTGTCTGTTTGGATTGGTATTGCTTTTATGTCCATCGTCTTTTTCATGTTCAATTTTGTTGAAGGTGGAATGCGACTGAAAGAGAAATTTTAATTACACAAAATTAAAATTGAACATGGGGATGAAATAAACAGTTCCATCATGTTCCCGCCTTTTTTGCATTCTGGTTCAAATTTTATCAGCCTATAAGAAGAACTACTCAGACAGTCCATGAATCTGCAATTGGTCAACATTTGCTCGACAACCATGATTGTGCCTCTGAATACGAAGACACGTGGTTTTCAGTTTTACACAGTGATCGTTCAATACACCAGCTTCGAGTCTTGGAAGCTGTTTTTATAAAGTGTCAACAGCCGAGATTGTGGAGACAAAAGGAATATTTTTTTACATTCCTTGCGTCTGTTGGAGGGTTTGGGGGTGTCCTTTTTCTATTTTATACTCTTGTGGAACTGTTTATTTTCATCCCCCTTGTTCAATTTTAATTTTGTGTAATTAAAATTTCTCTTTTAGTCGCGTTCCACCTTTCCCTCCTCATTTTCTTTATTTAGTGCGTCTTTATTCGTATTCCTAATTACCAACGAACACCTTTGAAAAAGTGTTAGCCAAAAGGTACCTAAGGTATGACGTCCATGTTGTTTCGTTTATATATCAATTCTTTGGGTACAAATCGCTGTTTGTATATATTTTATTCCAGGATATTTTTCGAACTTCCTCAAGATCATCTTTGCTCTCTCAAAACTTTTAACGTTCTGTCCTGGAGTAACAGTCTCCCTGACATGTTTTACCTACGATTTCATTTCCAAGTGTTTTTTTTCACTGTACCATCGCTGAAAGACTGAATCTTCTTTCTCCGCTCAGCCTTGTTTATTTGGGAAGAGATTGGGACTGACATAAAACAATTTTATCCCGTTCTTTTTCTAGTTGAATAACTTAAAGGGTTTTTCAGCTGTCATAGCTGAAACTCCTCTCTCTTGTGTCTTATGAACTGAGTTGGATCTTTTCTAATTGATCTCTTTAGCTCTAAGTTGAAATGATGATTCCTATTTCTGTTATGACATCCTGATCCAGTTTTTTCCTCCCTAATGTCCCCTCTTTTTTACTTCTAAGATGGAAGCCATTTCTCAGTTAAGAGGACATTGGGTCTGACACAAAAGGATTTTACCCCTTTCTTTTTCTAATTGAAATAACTCAGAGTATTTTTCACTGATTCTTACGACAAATGGTGTCAAGATGGCTAAGCGTTTTATCAGAAAACGTGGAAGTAAGAAATTGAATTAATTTAGTGGGTTTTAAATATTAAATATTTTGGGTGTGGACAATTACGCAGTTACACTATTTGGACAATTCCGCTGTTACACCTGGTAGATAGTATAAATAGTTACAATACCTCATCTCAGAAATATAGAAAGATATGAAGAAAAAAGATAAGTTAGTAGTAGAATGAATCGACAAATGTGGATGAGGACAGAATAGGAAATGAAAAAGATGAGTACAAGAAAGGAAAGAAGGAGAAAAACATAAAAAAAGTGAACATTGAAGTCAACACTCAGAGGCGACAGGCTGTTTCATGCTGGACACAATCGTCAAGCGGCCCGAAGTTTGCGCCTAGCATGAAACAGCCTGTCGCCTCTG